TAAATTTTAAAGTTTTCAATTTTGAATCCTCATTTCTAATCACTTCAGAGGACGATGATGATGGATTGGAAATTGATTTGGGCATCCAATGATATTTAGGTTTTATAACATTCTCAGGTGGTTTTGAAATATGTTTCTTATTAGTTCGCACTGAGCCTCTGGATGTTCTACTAGAAGTGGTTCAAGATCCAGAACTGCTCTTTGACGAAACCGATCTTGGCAGAGCCATGTTCGGTTTTGGCAAACTATTTGGAGCTTTGTTATGAAAAACCTTTTTATTCTTTTGAAAAACAGCCCTTTTTCTGCTTCGATCATCTTTCCAATCATCATTTCGAGAACGAGTTCTTGAGGACTTTCTAATTAAAGACCTTCCTCTAGATTCGTTCTCTCCTCTTGGCAACATATAGTTCACAAAGATTCTATTTTGACAATTCCTAGCTGTATGACCACCAACACCACAATTAAAACAAATATGTTTATTATTTGAACTTGTACTGCATTTCTCATATTTATTTTCTTGACAAACACTCTTACTCTTCTCAGAAGAACATGCATGAGAAATAGGTTGTGAAATAAGTGAGGGTGCCTCAGATGGTGTGACTTGTGGAATTGATGGGTTTTCATGAGAATCACAAGCATCAGAATTATCAAACAGTTCATCAAACATATCAAAGAAATTAAATTCAACAGTAGCAGATGTGGAAGCATCACACGAAACATTCTCAGTTTTAATATCAGAAACAAAAACTTTTTCATTTGAAACAAAAATATCAGAATCACAAACAGAAACAGATTCTCCAACTTCATGCTTTGCCTGATCTAAGGATTGATCTGCAGGGGAAGTAGAAACGTTAGTACTTTCAACATTAATAAATCCTCCTGAAACAAAACCAGATGGCTTGCCATAAACCATGAATGGTTCGTTGGCAATCTCATCCTTGGATAGGGGTTGATACTGATATGTATGATTATAAGGAGGAGGTACACTATCATATCCTAAACCCTTTTGTTGATTTCGTTTGAACTGCATACAGTGATCAATCATGTTGGCAACTACCTCGCTTGATCCATCAAATTTTCTAAAATCAAATTTTGCAGTTTCAAATTGTCTCTTTAATGTATCAAGCTCAGTAATTAACTCATCATTTTGTCTCTTAACATAATCATAAAGTTCACATTTTTCACTGTATTCTGTCTGAATTCTTTTAAAATCTTTTATTTTTGTTTCTAACTGGGCCTTAAGGGGTTTTTGTCCTTTCCTGAGTTGATAGCCCTCATATCTAAGGTCCTCTACTTCTCTACGTAATAATTGAATTTCATCATGAAGAAGTTTAACATATTCATTACATGCCTGAGAAGAAGATGGTAGATTTACCTCACTCTTCCTGGGCTCGAAAGTAGAAGACACCATCAGAGCAAACTGCAGCTCCATCATTTCTACTTCAGGATCAGCTGCATCATTCTTCAGGGGAGCATCATCAATTTGAGTTAGGTGAGCGTTTTCTGGCCCTGAAATATTAAAAGCCTGAATCTGGTCCTCCCAGTCAAAGGATTGAGCGACCATAGCAGTCTCACCATTAACCGCAACACCTGCACGATTGTTTCCCACTGCAACCATTGTCATGTTGTTATTCGTCCTACGATCTAGTTTTGGACACTCACGAGCAAAGTGACCCGGCTCGTGGCAGTTGAAACATCGCAGCATTCCCTTGTTGAATCCCACCTTCTTGTCAGCATTCATGCCCCAGTTGTTCTTCCCTGTCTTTTTAGCAAACTGCTTGGCCCTAAAAACAGCCATAGCAATCTGCCATGTAATGTCCATCTCTTCCACGTCTTCTGGCTGAATCTGATCCAGTTCAGCAAATGACAGCTGAGGTGGAAGCTCTCCAGCTACAAAAGCATTGTAGCAGTTAACAAGCCCAGTGGCTAGAGCCAGATTTTCATCAGTGTCTTTCGAGTTTGAGGAAGAGGCTACAACTGGCACATTTGGAGGGGGAACAACTTGTGGAGTGACAAATGGCTGGCTTTGAGAATGAGGAATGGATGATGCAGCAGCGAAGGTCTGAATCTGAGGTTGTTGAGCAGCAAAAGCTTGACCTGAGGAAGACATGATTGATGAGAGAGCATTGTTGGATGAGATTCCAAGATTTGCAGTTGAGTACGAGTTCACATGGTTAATCTCTCTCTGTTTGTCATCAATATCACAAGCTTTGATGATCGCCATGATTTCAGCAAGAGTGAGGCGATTCAGATCCTTGGTCTTCTTAGTCACAGCAACATTCATGTCCCATGACCTAGGAAGAGCATTCAGAAGCTTCTTGTTAATAACTGACTTGGTCAAGAAAATCCCAGATATATTCATGTCAGTGGTGAGAGTTGGGAACTGCTGCAGCTGTGCCTCAAGAGTCTCTCCGGGAATGTAGTTGAACATATTGAACTTTTGTCGCAACATGTCCTGGCGACTCTCCTTCATATCTTCATTGCCTTCATATACCTCAATTAGGGCTTCCCACAAATCTTTAGCTGATGTATACTCTCGGAAACCTTGAGCAATATCAGGAGATAATGCCATGGTTAGAGTGGCTAAAGCCCTTTCCTGTTCTTCCACCTTTTCAAACTCTTCATCTGTGTAGTTTTCAACAGCTTTGTTAATCACTTGTCCTCCAACCGTCATAGTGATTCTAATAGGGCCTCTAAGAATGCTTCTCCAGACTTTAAAGTCCTTCATTTTAATGTACTTTTCAATCCTGTATTTCCACTCAGGAAAACCATATGCAGACATTAATCTTGGAATACGCGTAGTAGTGCCCATGACAGTATCAAGTTCGTGAAAATGAGTTTGACTTTGAGATTCCATCAGAAATTAAAGCAAATTAATGTCAGAAAGAAGTTTACAGTTGATATGATTACGACCGTAAACTGCGTTTACGGTTAATGAGTTTACGACCGTAAACTGCGTTTACGGTTGATGAGTTTATGACCGTAAACTACGTTTACGGTTATTGAAGCTTAGTTTACGGTTAATTAAGGTTCCTTGTTTACGGTCCAAGAACACAGTTTACGGTTGGTTAATGTTCTTTGAGTTTACAGCCGTAAACTGAGTTTACTGTCGGCAGTAAGCTCCCAGAAATTCTTCGAAAACGCGATTTTGGAGTAGATTCAATCCCTTTAACCACGAAAACACTAAAACCAATCTCGAACAATAAAGAATGTCAGTCTAAACAGCCGAAAACTCGATTGAATGAAGCTTTGACACCGGTTTTGCTCTGATACCAATTGTAAGGTCCTGAAACGGATCTTTACCAATGATCAAGCAACAAACAATCAATAGCAATCACAATAGAAGTAGAAGAAGAAAAGAAATCAAGCTTGCACACGTTTATTGCATAAAACGTCTGGTACAACTCGACAGAATGAACCGTGAACTCTATGACATCAACAACTAGACAAAGACCTACAACTCCTCTATTTATACTTGACTTGGGACGCAAACTGGGTTTACGGCCGTAAACAGGTTTACGGCTGTAAACTCACTCTTGGCCGTAAACTGCTAAAACAACTCCCAAAACACACTAAAGACTCATAATGAACTATTACAATGAAAGCCTAGACCAAACCATTAATTGGACCCTTCAAAATACAACCAACATCAAGGTCCAAAAATAACATATTACCATACCAATGGAAGGATTTGAAGATACCTGAAAACTCGGGATGTTACATCCATGAAACTTCCACCAACCCTGCAACACTCGTGTATGCTAATCATACATAACACTGGATCCTATAAACAGTCAAATACTTGATTCTACCCTAAGCCCACAACCAGACAAGAAACAAGAAATAAGCCCAAATCAAACATTCTCATGCTATAAAATCTTAGTTATGTACAATTTTGATGCATACACTAAGAAACTACAGTAATGATGTCAATTTCATTCAAGAATAACCCTAGGCTATCAGGAATCATATAATCAGACAATTCTATCATGCAATTCCGTAAGATCTCCAACCTATCACTAGCATGCTATTCCATTATAACATAATAACAGATACATGTGTGGCAACTTGGGGTATAGTTACTGGCTCTGGCTGATCCAACACATCACATCCTTCCTTGGTTACTTTTCAAACAATTTTAAAAAAATCATTTTAAAAACTTTTGCAGTTCCTTAGTTTGAGTCTGGATTCACATGGATGTTCCTCCAATTCGCTCAAACCAAGGCTCTTATACCAACTTGTAACGTCTCAAAAATCACAACAAATTTAAACTTTTCAAAACAACCCATTTGCTAAAAAGAAGTGTTTACATAACCATTGTTTCCAAAAACATTATTCAAAAATAGAGTATCCCAAGATCAACAACATAAAACCGAGGATGTGTACGGTCACGCCTTCACCTTGCCACGGTCCTCTGAAGTTCTTGAAACAAAATTAAAATTGTAAGCCAACGCTTAGTGACAGGGCCGGCCCTGAAGATTCAAGTGCCCTGGACGAGAAATAAAAAAAGGCCCTTAGCCCTAAGATGTAACGAATGAAATTATATAAAAATGCATACTTCATTTATGATTAATTCAAATATTGATCAATTTACTTCAAAATTACTTATGGTTGTCATACTTCAGTAATAATACACATAAAAATTTCAACAAAGGTAATTGCAACACAAAAATGTTTTTCTGTATCTTGATAAATAGATATCATTAGTTCGAAAAATGGTTTTGGCAATAAAACCAAATTTAGGGCAATAATTATACACTAGGAGGCTAGGATAGGTAGATAACCTATTGAAATCCAATTCACCTCTAAATAGCTAAAAAGAAGAAAAGATAATCAACAAATATTTGGCTAGAATGCACAATGGGGAAACGCAACAAGTAAAATAATAACAAATACGAATCACATTCAGATGCAAACCCACTCTTTGTGGAAGAATCTAACACAGTCACACGGGAGCAGCAGTCATGTAAGGATTGGACGCTTCAGACTTAGTAATGAAGCTATCTCAGGAAATAGTGCTTGGACCTTACGATGTCGTTGAACGGCGGTCTGCAACGGTTGTCTGGAAGCAGGGGCACCTCTGGTCGTTTTTTAGGAAAGATGGCGACATATGTAAAATTATCACTGGAAGGGAGATATGAAGGAGGAAGGTCATTTTGCTTAGGGTTTGGAGCGTTGTTGTCGGAGTGAAAGAAACCTACAAATCGTAAAATTGAGATCTCAGATGCTTGGATTCTATTTGAAATGAACGAATATTACAAGGGTTTTGATTGTGGCCGGATCTTCTCGTTTGCATGTTGGTCTGATTCAACTTTTTCTTATAATTGTATATGTGTACAAGGTATATAAAAAATGGGCCCCTGAAAAAATTGGGCCCTGTTCCCATGCCCATGTTGCCCACCCTTATCACCGGGGCTGCTTAGTGAGTTCCCCCAAAGTACCACCACATAAACATAACAAACAACAACATGCATATAGAGCCTTCAACATGACTGTACCGCCTCACCGGGCCTTCAGTCTATCTGGACCGCTCTCTAGGCCTTCGGCCTGACTGGCCCGCCTTGCAAGCCTTCAGTCTATCCGGACCGCCCTGGGTATCTTGGCCTTCAGCACAAAGTAGGACCGCCTCATCCCAATATACCATCACATATCAACATATACCATAACAATCAATAGCTAGCATACACAGGTGGTCATACACATCTAACAGATCACTACAACATAACAACATCCTATATACCATGATACAAATCTAACAGATCACTACAACATAACAACATATGGTAAAACTAGGATATCAATCCAATGAGCCGTCCTTGGTGCTTTCGACCCGTAAGTATAGTAAGGAAAACTCACCTCATAGTCTGAACATAGTCTAAATAACTATCAACTCCGACAACCGGATCAACCCAAATCCTAAATGTCAAAACATTTCCACTCTAAATTAATAACATTTCCCCAAATATCGTTGGTCAAAACTGGTCAAAATCAACAAGTAAACCGAGTTAACTTAGGCTTCGTACGCGGGGCGTACTCCAGATGTAAGTGGGGCGTACTAGCTGTCCGAGGCGTCGGGCCAGATCTGCGTATGCGCGGCGTACCCTTTGGTACGCCCAACTTACGCAGTAGTCCCCCTCTTAACCTATTAAGAGCTTATTTCTCCGACTTGACACGTCCAATTGCAAATCTAAGGCTAAAATACCATCAAGAGTCATAAAGTTTCCAACTTTATGATTTTGCATGTCCATTAAGTGCTTAATACACAAAATCTCAACATCTTAATGCTTTAAGACCTTCTATAGCATGCATGGAGTAAAACTAAGCATCAAGACCACATTTTTATGACTCAAGACCCCTCATAAGGTCTGAAAGGACGACGTATTGGGTTAAGAGCATGCCATGCTCAAGAATCACCATATTTGGGACCAAAAATGCCCTAAATGAATAAAAGATTGATCAAGATAAAGTGATCAAGTTATAAACTTTTTACCACCTGGATATTGCTAGCAAGTGGGGAATCCCATATCTAAGTTGCTTCCAAGCTTCAAGGTCCTTGCACCAACTTCTTCTTCTTCAAGAAAACCAACAAAGCACACAAATGAGCTCAAAAGCACTCTTCTCACTTAGGGTTTGCTAGGGGTCGAATTCTCAGTTGGAGGCTGATTAGGGTGATGGTCTTGGGCCATAACGTTGTTTAAATAGTGTGAAAAACCTAAATTTTAGGGTTTGGAACCCCCGCACGCACACCCAACGTATGAAGAGTACACCCAGCGTACTAGGTCCCTCACATGTACCCCATGCGCACGAAGAGTACGCCCAACATAAAACATTATGGCTAGAAATTATCTGTAACACCCATATAAAAATCAAGCCAATTTTAAACTTTTTCAAACATCCAAAAGCCATTAATTATTACAAAATGTTTTCAAAATAGTTTAATATCAGAGTATCCCAGAAACCATAAGTCCAAAACATGAGCATGTGTACGGTCACACCTTCGCCCTGCCAATACATCTAAAGCACCTGAAACAATAAAATGAAACCGTAACCACAAATCTTAGTGAGTTCCCCCAACATACCAACGTCATACACATATAACCATATCATATAACCGATACAGAACAACATACATAATGAGCCTTCAGCATGACTGGACCGCCTCACAGGCCTTCAGTCTATCTGGACCGCTCTCCGAGCCTTCGGCACGTCTGGACCGCCTCGCAAGGCCTTCAGCCTATCCGGACCGCTCGTCGGGACTTCGGTCTGACTACCATACCCTTTTGGGTTTGTAGACTATCCGGTCCGTCCTGGGTATGTTGGTCTTCAACAAAAAGCAGGACCGCCTCAACCTATCCCAAATCAAAACAAACATGTGCACATAACTATCATACACTAGCATACATATATAACAATCAAACCGATCTAACAGATCATATAGCATAACAACATCCTATAACCAGGACATCGACCTAACCAGGTCACTAAGCATAAACATAACCTCATCCTAATTACCAGGATGCAAACCAATGAACATATCATGCCATAACCGGATACAATCCATAAAGGGCCGGTCTTGGTCCCTTAGACCCTGTTGATATAGTGAGGATAACTCACCTGACACTGCTGAAGTCCCGCGGATGAAACTCCAGCTGCTGGTTGACAGATTCCCGAACTGCCAACATCAAACAACACCCAATTAATAACTGCGTTCTAAGTCGAAGGTCCAACTCACACTCCAAAGGCCCAACAGTCCAACTATGGCTCAAAGCCTCAACATATGGCCCAAATTTCCAAATTGGGCCCAAGCCTTTACATGACCTTATTCAAAGGCCCAACCATTTAGTCCAGTCCAAACATTTGACATTTCTAATGGACCAATATCTCATAATCATAAAGGCCCAAACTATGGCCCATCTATGGCCCAATTTTCCAAATTGGGCCCAAGTCCTTCACATTGGCCTTACCCTAAAACTCATCCAATTATTTTGGTGCATTTACTTGTTCTTGGATAGCCCATCAATAGTCCAACCACCAAGGCCCAATAGGAAGACACAACTCAAGGCCCAAGTGAAATTAGGGTTCCTACATGAAATGACGATTAGGGTTAAGTGTTTCTTACTTAACCCATTAAGGACTTAATCCATTAAGTCCAATATTGCCTTAGGTTAATTTGCCAATGATTATTAATTATTATTTTAGGTTTAATAATTAATTCTCGTGCGGTCCCGATCAATCCCAAAATTAGAATTTCACATAAAATGATAATTAGGGTTAAGTGTTTCTCACTTAACCCATTAAGGACTTAATCCATTAAGTCCATCACTCTTCTAAATAAATCATATGGTGTGATTGGGCTTAATACATAGTCCAATTCCAAAGGCCCAAATGTGGGTCCCGATAAGTCTAAAGCCCATAAATCCAATATTAGGGTTTTCTAAACCCTAATTAGGGTTTCCAACCCCATCTTAGCCTAATTGGCCCAATATCTAGGTCTTTTGATCAATTAAGGTTCACTAGGCCCATTAGGGTTTTAGTCCCTTTGTCCAAACATCTCAGACGAGTCACAATACAAATGAGGCACACCGCCACCCGACACGGCGACCGGTGGCGGCAGCCACCACCCTATGGTGGTGGTTTTCAGTTTTCTTTTCATTATTCCAACTCCGGTTACAATATTACAATGAAAAATACCAAATGGACACGCGCGCGCACACACACTAAAATACAACCACACATGGTGGTACATGGTGGCAGCCACCACGGTGGTGGTGGTGGTGGTGGTTGTTCTTGATTTTCCAGCCACACATCCCCAACTCTACATCAAACAAATAACACACACACTCTCTATACTCGAAACAGTAGCACAGCCACCCGCCTGGTGGCCTTTGGAGGCGGAAGAAGCGGTGGCAGCCACCACCTTGAGGTGGTGGCGGTGAATTTTCCAGCCCCATATTGCATAACTACACCAATAACACAATAAGCAGCGTATATCTTCGACCCAATAAACATCCAGCCACATCCTAAGTGGTTGACACCGCCGGAAACGACGAGATCAACGGCCAACAACCACAGGTGGCGGCTACGACATGCCCGACGCCGTATCCACAAAAAAACGAGGAAAAGAGAGGAGGTAGGTTGCGGTGGACCTACCGAGTAATTCTGGTGGCTCGTAACTCGCACAAAGACGACCCAACGGTTTGTTCCCGGTTCTTGACGGAACTCACGGTGGCACGCGACATTGTCGGCAGCAGGTCGTGATGGTGGCGCTTCAACAGCATGGAAGCGGGCGGCGGCCTCATCTTGATCGGAGATGCGAGAATACGAGAGATGGCGGCCGAGGAGTTTGAAGTGGCGGCTGAAATGTCTAGGGTTAGGGCTTCCTCATGTCACGAGAGGGATGGACGGTTTTAATCCCGTATCCATTTCAACTTATGCCCTAATATTCACTTCTGGTCCCTCCCCATTATATCTTTTCCAAATGAGATCCAACTGTTACCATACAACCATCCAATTGGAGAATTATTTGCAAGACTAGTCCTAAAATTACCTTTTTACCCCTGCCCTCATAAATCTTTACGAAAGGGCTCCAACATCTACCCTTTTACCCCTGCCTTCGAAACTCTTTACAAATTGAGTTCAGAATTTACTCTTTAGCCCCTTACTCCATAAAATCCTTTATAAAATAGTCTGAAAATTATATTTTAACCCCCTAAACTTTCAAATATAACTTTTTAACCCCCAAAACTAACTCATTGCTACACTATTCCACTTTTAGGGCTATTATACATTCAATAATCTATTTATTTATTTATTTATTTAAACAGGATGTTACAACTCTCCCCCACTTAAATTAGATTTCGTCCTCGAAATCATTCCTTACCCTTCCTTACACACCCAAACCATTCTAGTAACATGGTCACCATCCTGGGCACACTCTCGCCTTTCCAGGGTAGCCGTGACCAATCTTCGCAAAGCCCTATGATCCGGAGGTGAACGAATTCCTCGCAAAAGATCACATCTACTTCGTCTGAAATCTGCTGTCTCGAGATGGTCTGAATCCTTGACAGACCACTCATACTGAATCATTATCGTTGAATCCAGTCCACTTATCCCTCAACTGACTACTCAACTTCTAATAGCTCGAGGTTCCCACTTCAAAATAGGTTCACAGACCTAATTATCACTGCAAATCACTTATACTTGGCCAAGGCTCAGCTAATCCCGCTGTGAGTGACTTGTCGCTTCCCAGTCAACCAGCTATTCTGTTCGCATATGAACCTAAAGCACCATTACTAATACTGCCCAATCGCTGAAACTGCATGAAACATGCCTGGTCTCAACTCATTCACCAATCATTTGAAATACCAAGTTCCGGCCCGGCTGCGGAGCCAAAGGACTCCCCACTTAGTCGCCTCACATGACTTATGAACGAAATCCTTCTCTGGAACTAGTTGCCACTAGTTATCATGTCACTATGACTCTAACAACTTTCTGATCTAACCGATCGGGTTCATGCGTCGAATCCCGTCGTTGCCAAATCCACGGCTAAAAGCGATTGCTACATGACCAATGGTAGCCTTACATCACAAGCAACCTTAAGCAATCCATTGCTTCCTTGATCTCATAATTGTAGCGACGTTCCTACAGTCTTATCACTGGCTTAACCAGGCCTAATTCTTCTGGGGAAACCCATAAACCAATCCATCGATTTTCATATCCTCACTGCTACACCCGAACTGGTGGGTACTACTGTCCCTTCCGCGTCCTAACAACGCGCTCATGCTATCTACCAACCTAGTGAATGTTGCGGCTACACCCACAGACTTACATCACTCTAGCACTATCTGTTAACCTGGTGAATGCTACGGCTACACCCGCAGACTTACAATACTTCTCACACTATCTGCCAACATGGTGAATGCTACGGCTACACCCACAGACTTACAACATTTCTAGTATTATCTGCTGCTAGTGAATGTTACGTTACCCCCGCAGTCTTACAACACTTTCCATACTACCTGATCGCTAGTAAATGCTACGACTACCCCCGCAGTCTTACAACACTTTCCATACCGGTCGAACACGCACTCGACCTAACACATAACTGAACTTAATTCATGGCTAGAATCCCAACCTGATTCCCCAATTTCTGATATCAAGCACCGAGAAGACGCGATTCCCATGCTGGGGAGTTTTACCGAACTCCCAACTCGCACAACCCTCAACCCAAACAGCCACTTGGGTTGTCTTCCTTCCTGACAACGATACAAGACTTATCCCATTTTCAAACCTGATCCCGCTTCTGCATTCCGGGTCAATTTTCCCCCACTTAGATTCAACTAAGTATTCACAATACATGGAAATTTGAGAATTCCCAATCCTTCTTACTTTCCAACGATCGATCTGATGACAACCAGACCTTTCCAACTAGTACTCCTTTACTAGCCAACCCAAATGATCACACGCTTCTAATAACTAGATGAACACTTACTGAATCCCAGGGAAACCAACAGTCCCTAATGCTCAAATGATCTCACACCCAACTTGAAGTCCAAAGATAGATGCTCCAACTAATGTCTCAACAACGAGCTACTTCCCTTGGCGCTTTCCGCTGCCAATCAATAACGGTTACTAAAACCACTGAATCTTGACAATGTTGAATAACCATCCTGTGGGACCCTGTCCGCAGACCTCCCATATAATACCCTTCTTCTAAAAGTGCTACAACAAATCTCCCGCTCTCGGCTCTAGAAATCACATCATTCAGGGTCTCGCACCCTGACTCACTCACCAACTCGATCATCCACAACTGAACTGCAGTAGCTGAAACCACCTCTGCCCTAAACTGGCCACAAACTACTCCCACTACATAGTCTCCAATCCCCAGAAGTGCAATAGATCGCACAATCAATCCTTACCATCAGATGTAAGAGATCCAATGTGAATCAGATCTTAGCTCCTATGGGTCGGAACGGTAATCGCGTACGCCTCACAAGATACTCATGTCACATCGACCCACCTGCGCTTACCAACGCTGAAATACTGTCGCCAAACCCTGCAACTAACTAACCCGAGCTGGAACACAACCTGATCCTGGGGTCCCAAGTCTGCTCACTCCTTCGAGCTCGAAACTGAAAGGGCACAATCCTTGCCCTATAAAACGACATTCCAATCCATCAATTAACCATTCTACTTACAGCTGCAAAACTCCAGCTGAACATAATCATCACTCCCCTCCGGAGTCCCCGCGACTCGCATTCCGGCCTCGAGAAAAACCCCCGAAGCCTCAAATCCAAAAACTCCTACGCTAGCCTCTCCTACTCAACCCGTGGAATATAACGAGTATAGAACATCTCCTTGATCCCAAGCAACTGCAGCCCTCTGCTCATCAGAATATGTCACAGTAATAAATCCTGGTACTGGAAAGCTCGACCAGCTCCTCCCCTTGTCGTCGTTACAGTTGTTATAGCTGCCGCGGCAACCGTTTCGGCAAGGGCTGCATAGCGCTCGTCGAAATACTCAACCGTGGCGGTCTTAATAGACCCAAACATCTCCGGAAACTGTCCCCGGACGACCCCGATCACCTCCTCCCGGATGATCTCACTGACACGGTCATCTGACAATGTTGGCCTATCCTAGCTGCCAGCTCCCGATCCTAACCTGGATCCGGTCTCAAGACGTCTCGTAACCACCATTCTGGTAAGACACCAGAAAAATCTCTGATAATCCACATAATGACAGGGGACCAACTCCCAACCCAACCCTAGGGGTTGTGACTTCCTTGTTACGCGTATGGGTCCTGTGCTTTCAGTAGTACGGGCCCATACTACCTTCCACACCTACCCATATTTGTCTCAAGTATCATCACAACGCCCTAACACTATACACAATCATAGAGAGCACTCACTCCTCAATCCTAAAGGATGCTAAATATCTCGTAACTGGCCTCCCGGCCTCACACAACCCACCCATGAAACTTCCACCAACCTTGCAACACTAGTGTACGCTAGCCATACATAACGCTGGACCCCATAGACATCCGAATACTCGGTCCTACTCTAAGCCCACAACCAAATAAGAAACATGAAATAAAGCTGAACCAAACATTCTCAGGTTATAAGATCTTAATTATGTACAACCGTGATGCATACACTAAGTAACTACAGTAATGATGTCAATTTCATATAAGGAAATCCCTAGGCTATCAGGCATCATATAATCAGGCAATTCTATCATGCAAATCCTGAAGATTCCTGGCCTAGTATCAGCATGTTGTTCCAACATATCATAATATTAAATAACTGTATGGTATTTTGGGGTCTACTTACTGGCTCCGGTTGATCGTACACTTTGCATCCTCCCTTAGTATTTTGAAATCAATTTACAAATCATTTTGAAAATCCTTTCCTTGATTTGAGACTGGATTCACACGAGTGTTCCTCCAATTTACTCAAACCAAGGCTCTGATACCAACTTATAACACCTATATAAAAATCAAGCCAATTTTAAACTTTTTCAAACATCCAAAAACCATTAATTATTACAAAATCAAGCCAATTTTAAACTTTTTCAAACATCCAAAAACCATTAATTATTACAAAATGTTTTCAAAATAGTTTAATATCAGAGTATCCCAGAAACCATAAGTCCACAAAATGTGGATGTGTACGGTCACGCCTTTGCCCTGCCGATACATCTGAAGCACCTGAAATAATAAACTGAAACCGTAAGCACAAAGCTTAGTGAGTTCCCCCGAAATACCAACGCCATACAAATATAACCATATCATATAACAAATACAGAACAACATGCATAATGAGCCTTCATCCTGACTGGACCGCCTCGCAAGCCTTCAATCTATCTGGACCGCTCTCCGAGCCTTCGGCACGTCTGGACCACCTCGCAAGGCTTTCAGCCTATCCGGACCGCTCGTCGGGCCTTCGGTCTTACTACCATACCCTTTCGGGTTTGTAGACTATCCGGTCCGCCCTGGGTATGTTGGCCTTCAACACAAAGCAGGACCGCCTCAACCTATCCCAAATCAAAACAAACATGTGCACATAACTATCATACGCTAGCATACATATATAACAATCAAACCGATCTAACAGATCATATAGCATAGCAACATCCTATAACCAGGACACCGGCTTAACCAGGTCACTAAGCATAAACATAACCTCATCCTAATTACCAGGATGCAAACCAATAAACATATCATGCTATAACCGGATACAATCCATAAAGGGCCGGCCTTGGTCCCTTAGACCCTGTTGATATAGTGAGGATAACTCACTTGACACTGCTGAAGTCCCACGGATGAAACTCCAGCTGCTGGTTGACAGATTCTCGAACTGCCAACATCAAACAACACCCAATTAATAATTGGGTT